CCACAGCATCAGTTACCATGGAGACCTAGCTCCACAGCATCAGTTACCATGGAGACCTATTGATATTTTTTCAGATTTTTTGTGCATTTTATTGATCTGGTTTGGGCCTATTTTGGAACATATAATAATAATAATAATATTAATAATTATTTCTTAAGTCATTTTAGAGACGTTCTACGGATGTTTTATTTCTACTGGTGAGAGTTGTTCTATTAAATGTAATGTTAGTTTGATCCTGTTCGTTGAGCTGCTGGATGTTTACGTTGTGATGTGAAGGAACGAGCTGTAATTAAAACAAATTAACACCACCAGAACCTCCATGTAAGTGGGTAAAAGAACCTCCTCAACGACCACATGAACCCAAATCACCACAAGGATTCTCCACATAGACCAGTAGAACCTCCTCATTCGTGTCTAGATCTCCACTACCAACAACAGAACCTCCTTACAGATCAGCAGAACATCCTGCAACACAAAGGAACCTGTTTGTAGACGACCAGAAGATCTACGTGTTCGCGTCTGCAACCTTCCAAAGACCTTTTGAAGCGTCTCATAAACAAGCAGAACCTCAGCTCTCAATCCAGCTTTCTCAGAAACTAATAGCACCTCTGTGTTCATGACCAGAACCCTCTGAAAAGACACAGAACCTCTTCAGTAACCAACCAATCCTCTCTGTAGATGAGTAGAAACTAAAATAACTCTACTAGGTCCTCGAGAACCTCCTCAGTCACCTATAGAACCTCCTTGTTCTTGTCTAGAACCTTCCCAGAGACCTATGGCCTCCTTAGAAACTAATGGAACCTCTTGGTATTGGTGTAGAACCCTGTAGAAAGACACAGAACCTCTTTAATAACCAACCAATCCTCTTTGTAGATGACTAGAAATTGAAGTAACTCCACTTGGACCTCAGGAATCTCCCCAGACACCAGTAGAACCTCCTTGTTCTTGTCTAGAACCGTCCATGAGGACACGTAGAACCACTTTAAAGGCCTGTGGAACCACTTTGCAGATGACTGGATCCTCCTGACGTCCTACCAACAGCCTCTGCAGCAGCACGTCGAGCCGTTTCCTTCCGTCTGAATGGTTGACGTTTCGTGTTTTGGTGTTTGGATCGCGGTCGGGGTTGTGGAAGATGAGCGCTGTGGTTCTTGCGGGAGCCGACGTGTTCTGCTGTGGATGTGGCGTCGATGCTGTCATGGTTCAGGAATGTGCTGCTGCTGCAGGAGGCCCGTCGCTGCTGAACTGGATCTGAAACCTGTCCGACTGAAACAGGCCTGACGTCATCACATATCCAAGCCCAACACAGAAACAGCCGACCTGCTGCTGAGCTCTGGACCGGCCGGTTCGGTGTTTCAGCAGAAATGCAAAGAATTCATGGCTTCAGCTTTTTAAATGAGAAAATCTGAGCCGGACGCAGTCGAGCAGAAACTCAGTAAGTTTCATTCACTTGTGTGACCACAAAGTTCACCAGCAGCTGCTCTGACGGTTATCTGTTGTTGTTGTTGTTGTTGTTGTTGTTGTTGTTGTTGTTGTTGTTGTTGTTGTTGTTGTTGTTGTTGTTGTGTCTCTCTGTGGTTCTGTGGAGTCTCTGTGAGGGTTTTGTGTGTCTGTGGTCCGTTCTGTCTGTTTTTATTTAGTCTTGTGTGAAAACGGCTGCAGCTGCTTCTATGTGCGTATTTTCTGTTTGGTCTCTTTGTGGTTTTGAACGGCTGTCGGACCAAACAAGCCCGGCTATTGATTGGTTCTGACTGTTCCTTGTGGACATGAGTCAAAGCAGGTAACTGGAGCGCTGATCAGTACCTCCGTGTCAGCGTGGAGGATAGATGAGGGTTTTTTAAACAAAGCTACGAGGAAGTTTCTTTTGCCTCAGATGGAGATAAGATAAGATGAGCTGCAGTGAACAAGGAGCTCATTGAGGCTGACGAGGTTCACCGCTGAGTTAATGCCTTTAAACAAGCAACGCGTCATCTGTTCGCAGTGAGCAACCCCATCCCGTCCAACCTCAAGTCCGAGGCCAAGAAAGCCGCCAAGATCTTGAGGGACTTCACTGAAATCTCCAACAGGAATGGACCGGACAAGCTCATCCCCGGTAACCCCAGTTCCAGCTGCAGCGCAGGACAGCTTCACGTCACACGTCTCTAACATGCACGCTAACATGTTTGTGTTGCAGCTCACGTGATCGCGAAGGCCGAGGGTTTGGCCATCATCTCCGTCATCAAGGCCGGATTCATGATCACGGCCAGAGGAGGCAGCGGCATCGTCATCGCCAGGCTGCCCGACAGACGTAAGGCTGGAACCTCCAGGTTCTGTGCTGTTCGGCCTGTTGTGTCTCGTGGTGTTTTTGTGTCCTCTGTTGCGTTGGTTCGTTATCTCGTCCTATTTGTCGTACCTTCCTTCGTCCCACAGTGAACTTTTGTTGTTTTTGTTGTTGTTTCTCTGCGTTGCCGTGGTAACAGGCCTCCCTGCAGTGCCAGGCGTGTGCTGCAGTCAGCTGACGGGCCGAGTCACGGTGCCGGTGGCAGATGTGGCGGTTTGTGGCGCTGCCAGAAGCCGCCGCTCTTCCTCTGCAGGCGGAACTGTTGGTTTTCTGGATGTTCACAGTGAAGGAGCAGCTCGCCACTTGTGACGCCGGGACGTCAGCGTGAACAAAAGCCCCTCTGGAGTCTTCTCATTAATCAGACTGACCTGACGGTGCTCCATGTCTCTGTGTGTCCAGGTTGGTCGGCACCTTCAGCCATTGGTATAGCTGGTCTGGGCGGAGGCTTCGAGATCGGCGTGGAGGTGGGTCACAATCCTCCGTTCAGTTATCGTCTGTTCTCCTGCAGAAGGCAAAATTAAACCGTTTGTGTCCATCAGGAGTTCAGGGCTCACCGTGACTCTGCGTCGTCATTGTTTTTTCTTCTTCATCATCGTGCATCTCTTGGTGGTTGTGTTGCATCTCTTTGCATCCTGCTTTGTGTCGGTTACATGCAGCTGAAGGTCAGACTGTCCTCGAACGCACCACATACCTGCATCAATCAGCTGATTTTTGGTTTCCTCCAGGTGTCGGACCTGGTGATCATTCTGAACCAGCGCCGTGCTATCGAGGCGTTCACCAAGGGCGGGAACCTGACGCTGGGCGGGAACTGCACGGTCGCCGTGGGGCCAATGGGCAGGTACATTACAGCTGCTGCTGCCGGGAGGTTTATGAGGCGTTTGATGGCATCAGCTGTGGTTTACGGTGGAGATTGTGACTCAGCACACCGTGGATATTTTTAGAAGGACCGGGTCAGAGTCCTTCCAGGGCAGTCTGACAGGTTTTGGCGCACATGTGTCAGCAGGTGTGTGTGGGCGTGGCCAGGTTGGTGCTGACATAAGAGCAGCCGGATCAGAAACACCTGCAGACGGACGCGACTTATGAGCAGAAACACAAACTGCAGGAAGCCAACAACCGCTGTCGCCTCAAAGCAGCTGATCCACAGCGTCTCCTGGTGGTTGTTTTGAATGTTTGTGTGTTTGTTTGTGTCACGTTGTGGTTGTTGTGGGTCTCTTTGTTGTCACTTTGTGTCTCCTAGCAGTTGAGTTTCATCTCTTTGTAGCTGCTGCACATTTTTTTGTCGTTATTTTTTGCTTCTCTTAGTTTTGCATCTGTTAGCGGTTGTTTTGTGTCTTTTTGTGGTCATTTTGTGTCTCTTCTTTCATGCTCTACCACCCATACAAGCTTTCCATGTATTTGTGGGGGTTTTTGTGAAGAAGTGAATATTGTAGCTACAGCTAGCAACAGAACAGCAGAGGACCCAGGATCCTGCCTTGTGGAACACCACTCAGCAGTGTTGGAGCTTCACTCTAATGTGTTGCACTCCCTATTTTTATGTCCTTTTCTTGTTGTAATGTTGAAATGAAATGTGCTCGTCAGGAACGTGGAGGCCGACGTGGCTCTGCGCAGCCCCGCGGCGGTCTTCACCTACTGCAGGTCCAGAGGTCTGTTTGCAGGGATTTCTCTGGAGGGATCCTACCTGATCGAACGCAAAGAAACCAACCGCAAGTACGGGAACAGCCACCGACTGCCTGCTGCAGTATGAGCTAAGCTCATCCAAATCAGTCTTTAATCGAGTGTTTCCATCGTAGGTTCTACTCCCAGGACATCCGTGCGTCGGCCATTTTGAACGGTGATGTGGAGCCGCCGTCGGAGTGCTACGATCTCTACCACATCCTGGACGTCTACACCGAAGCCTACACCGCCGACTGGACCAGCAAGAACCTGCGGGTTAAGGTGCCGTTCACAGCCTCAGTCCTTTTTGTGCTAGTTTTGTGTCCCTTTGGGGTTGTTTGCCATCGATTGGACCACATGTTGGTTGTTTTGCATCCATTTTTACTCATTCTGCGTCTTTCTTTAGTAGTTTTCTTTTATTTTGCATCCCGCTGTGGTTGAATGTTGTCAATTTGTGAGTGTTTTTACATCTTTTTTAGTGATTTCTTTCGTCTCTTTGGGGTTATTTTGTTTGAGATTTTTATCTCTTTATAGTCTTTTTGGTTTCCTGTGTGGTCATTCTGGGTTTTTTGTGTCCCTTGGAGGTTGTTTAACGTCTGTTGGATCCATTTCTCGGGTTTCACATCATGTTGTGGTCATTTCGTGCATGTTTTGCCTCCATTTGTAGTCATTTTACTTCCTGTTTGGTCATTTTGTGGCTGTTTTGTGTGTTTTTCTCTGGTCATTTTAAATCACACAGATGTTTTGTCAGTCAGATTGCATCCCTCTGTGGTCTCTGTGGTTTCTTCTGCTCCTGTTTGTGGCGGTTTGTCGTCCCGTCTTCAGCTCTTCTGTTTCATTTTGTTCGTCTCCAGTCTGTTCCTCCATCCAGACCTCCAGCGCCGCCACAGCAGAGACCTCCGAGCAGCTTCCAGCGACCAGCCGCCGGTAAACATCCCATGTTTGTTGTTGTTGTTGTTTGTTTGTTTGTAGTGTAAACGATGTGTAACTGTGTGTGTGTGTGTGTGTGTGTGTGTGTGTGTGTGAACAGGAGCGGGAGGCAAAAACACCCTTTACCCGAGCATCTCCATCTACAAATCTGAGAGCTCAGGTGAGCTTCACGTTTCTTCTTCTTCTGCTTCAGGTCGAGATTCGATTTGGGTTTGAGTCAGAATCAAGTCTGGATTATAATCAGGTTTTGGTTTAGTTTAGAATCCGGTTTCAGGACTTGTGGATGGATCCTGAGCTCTCGTGTCTGTTGTGAGCCTGTAGCGCCCCCTGCTGTCCACAGGCTTCAGGCCCAGTCTCAGTAAACCAGAATGAATCCGTTCAGACTGTTCATTCATAGACGCACATCTCATGAAATGAACTCTTCACTATTAGTGCCTTGTATTAATAAAAGAAGGACAATAGTTCTTTTTTGTTATTTTCGTCAATAAATGAATGAATCCGTAAATATCGAGCTTTTAAAAGAGAAGTTCAGTTTGATTTTTTGTTTTTTCTCATTTTCATCATTTAACGTCTATTTTATTGATGTTCAGCGTCTTTCTGCCAAACGAGGAAAACAAAGAGTTAAAAGAGTAAATCTGAGAGAGAAGAATGAATCCGTGATGGAAACGGTTTGACTTTGTCCAGATGAAGGTTTCGGGTCAGTTCGCCTCCAGAAGCTTCACACCGAACACGAAGCCGACAGGTTCAGGAGAATCAGATCAGGAGCAGAACAAGACGTTCTCATGTCATTGATTTAAAACTGATGTCGTCACTTTTATCCTAAATAATTCTATAATCGTCTAAAACATTTGTGTCGACATCATCAAATGTGTCCATGAAGTATTTTACATTTTCCTTTAACCAGGACGGTTTGAAATGAGTGATTTTCAAAATATAAATTAGATTTTAATATAAATTAGTTTATATTCAGCAAACTAACTAAATTACAACAAGCTATATATTATAATACTGAAAAGTAAAAGATTCAATAGATAAAGAAGAACAGAGAATAGAGACACATGTGGTGATTTTCTGCATTTAGCGTCACATTAATGAAGTTTCATCAAGTTTATAAACAACAAACATGTAAAAAGTTAAAACTAGAACCAGTCAAACCAAAGTGAAGTCAGTTTAATGTGATCAAACTTCAGTGCTTCAGTTGTTTGTGTCATTTTACGTTTTTCTACAACACTCGATGTTTATTCTGTAAATTCAGTCAAAACACACAAAAATACAAAAACAAACTCAATCATGTCATTAAAGCAGAGTTCAGACAGTTCAGAGCAAACGTGTCGTCTTCTGCCTTTAAAGCAAAGCTAACAGAACATTTTAACGTCACTGATCGTAAATATTTTTATAAATGCTGAATACGAAAAACAACAAAACGTGAACAGTGAAGAAAAAACAAAACCTTTTACGCTCCAATCTAAGGATTTGTCTCCATAAGATTTTAGGTTTTATTTATTTATTATACATTTTCCTTCAGGTGGAGCATTGTCGGGGGGTGGAGCATCGTCAGGGGGCGGAGCCACCGGCCAGCTGGTTGTCACGGCGACCCACCCGTTCACGGGGCAGCAGCCCGGCGACCTGAGCTTCGTGCCCGGCGACCGCATCACCGTCCTCACCGAGACCGAGTCCCAGTACGACTGGTGGGAGGGGCGACTGGCCGACGGGCGCGTCGGCATCTTCCCCGCCAACTTCGTCACGTACTGACGTCGCCCCCCGGTGGTCCGACGACCAACTGCAGCCGAACAACAGTTTCTGCGGGAGGCAGGCGGCTCGAGAGAACAAACACTGCAGGCTTTGGGCAACGCTGGGTTGGGTCTGATGGAAGCTAAACTCACCGGCATCTGGGCGGAGAATCGACCAGTCACCTTCATACTAATATCTACGAACATCGTAGCAACATGTCCAGCAGGAGCATTTTAACGTTACAGATGAAACTAATACCAGAAAACATTCAGCAGGTGACAATCGTCCAACTCATCTCCTGGAAAGCTGAGCTGTAAAAGGCTAAAAACAGCACGAAGCAGCGGCGAATTAAACAGCTACGCTTGATCTAGTTACAACGATGTTAAAAAAAAAAAAAAAAAATGGTGCAACAAGAAAGTTTTCACTCGAATTTCCTGAAAACTTCCAACCAGACTCCCAGATGTTTTCTGTCTGTTGTGTTACGAGCCTGAAGGCTGCTGGAGAGACTTTAGCTTCAATACTGGATGAGATGTTACGCTTTCCTTCGCTGTGCTTTCCTGCGTTACACAAAACAGTATTTAAAGGTTGACTTGTAGGATCTGTTACTGCTCCTCCTGCACACGTCTCCACAGCAGCCAGCAGGAGGCGCTTGTTTCATGAGCAGCTTTAACGTCAGGTGGCTTGTCAGTGGCAGCGGGTTTGTTCTGTCATTCGCTTTGATTGAAACGATAACGTGGTGTGTTTCTGGGACGATCGTGAATAAATCAAATCTGTAAAAATGTTTTTGTTTCGACGCAGTTTGTCAAAGAAAAGCTTCAGAACGTCTTTAAAACATCCAGAAAACGACTTTCAAACCAGATGAAACACAAACTCAGTGTTTAAAACAAATGTAATAATTCAGTTCAAAGTTTTCATTATTTTACAGACAAATTTCACTGAACAATAAAACGTAACGTATCATCTTGAATGAGCGATTTAATGTATGAAAGTCTGGTCACAGTTTCCAGCTCTCTGTGCACAGATCCACTGGTCTGACTCAGAGTATAGGTTTAAAAGCTGCAGTTCCATGTTTGTCCTGCAGATGGCGCTGCAGGAATAAAATCTGACCCGACGAGAACCAAAACCCACAACAGGCAACGTCTGTATATTCTATATAAGAATATATATATTGATTGAATCTTAAATAAAAATGCAGTGTTTGTTGTGAACGTTGACAGTCTAGATGTTTCTTTACTTCACTGATTTAAATCTCAGACTCTTTATCGGTACGATGTCGTCTTACGGACGATAAACTGTAAATGAATCAGTTACACAGAATCGTGTCAGCGCTGCTGGACACGAGCTGAAAACACTTTTCTATTTATTAGTCTGGATATGAAAGCAAACCAATTTAAAAACTTTAAAAAAATAAAATAAATAAATCTGCTAAGCTAGGTAGCTTTAGCATCTTGAATGAAATCAGCTGACTCTTTCAGTGACGTTGGGAAACTAAGTGAAGCTTTACTGTGTCCATAACAATGAGGCAACAGCACAGCTTTTTGAGTTTAGCCGGAACAATGAAGTGTCCGTAAAACTGCAGGAAATTAGCTCCCGCTATGGCTAGCTTTAGCTAAAGCCATAGCTATTTTGCTGAACTGATGCTGTTTGTTGGTCGTTCAGTTATTCCACACAATTAAAGAATGTAGTAGCTAAACCATAAGATGCTAAAGCTGACTAGCTTAGCTTCAAGCTCAGAAATGTAACTGCAGCCTCAGCTTCTGAGAGCAAAGAAAGCTAGCATGGAAAAGCTGTCGTTTTACCTGCATATACTGGGACTGTTTTTAAATATAATGTTGGTTTGGTGGTTCAACATTTTCCACCAATAAAATCATCAAGAAAAGTCGCAGTTCTGTAGTTACAGTTCTCTGCCTTTAGGGGGCAGCGTGGAGCCATAACCTCCAGATTACGTTTTATCAAGTTGGTGATTTCTGAACTTCTGACATCAGTTTAACTTTTGATAAAATGCAGTGTTTTGATTTTCCTGCCGTGACATTAAAGATCGATAAGTTTAGGATCAAGTTGGGTTTTGTTTAGAATTAAGTTTAGGTTAAAGTCAGGATTTCGTTCAAGTTGGGTTTAGGTCAGAAATGGGTTTAGACTAAAACTGGGGTTTAGGTTACAGGTTAAAATCGTGTTTAGACTGAATGCAGATTTCCATGATAGTTGGGTTTCTGTTGATCTTAGGCTAGATCCAGGTTTAGGTTAGAGTCGAGTTTAGGCTAACATCAGACTTGGATTAGACCCGAGCTCAGATGATGGAATCAGACTTACGTTACCATCTGGATTGCATGGGAATCCGGTTTAGATTAAACTCAGGTTTAGATTTTAGAGTCAGGTTTTTTATTGTGTTGGTTTTATAGTTTGAATTTTGTGGCGATGAAATAATCAGTGAAACCATTTTTTACAGATAAAAGATGACGTACGTGTTTCTGAGAGTTTTCCTTCACTGTGCTCGGTTTGCCGGCAGAACAATCTTCCACAGCCGGCCGGCAGGTGAATTCATTTTAGAAAGAAAACAAAGTGCAAAAACCGAAGCGTTCAGAGCTGCTGGTGCTTCTGAACGTCTCTCGTATGAACTCACTGGTGCTTCCTCAGACATGTGGCTCTAATGTGGGGGATGAGTGAAGCTCTAGATCAGTCCCGAGTGCTGCTGCATGTCGTCCTCTGCAGGGAGGATCTCCGTCTTCCTGCTTTGGCTGCTCACCAGCTTCCTGAAAACACACAACACCACAACCTGAATGATTCACCGGGCAGCTGTTAAAGGCTGACTCGTAGTCCAGAGTCTGCAGCGTGACTGAAGGTCTCCTGCACAATAACGTGACTCTGGCCCTGAACGGGATTAAAGCTTTCAGTCCAGTTCGTCGTCGTCTGTGCGATTTGCTGCTTTGTGATAGAAAATATTCCACAAGGTCAATGTGTTGGTTCCTGGTTTTATTCACCAAACAAACCAAACGTTTACTGGTGGCATTTTTACTGCAGTTGTTTTTGTTTGGTTACTTTGACATTAGAGATAGATTCAAACCAAGTTTAAGTCAGAGTCGGGTTTAGATTAGAACCAGGTTTAGATTAGAGTCGAGTTTAGATTACAGTCTAAACTCGACTCTTCAGTTACAGTCAGGTTTTGTTTAGAATCAGGTTTAGGTTAAAGCTGGGTTTACATGAGAATCAGGTTTTAGTTAGAATAATGTTTAGGTTGGGTTCAGATCAGAATCAAGACATAACTCCGTTTTCTGTTGTTTTTTTAGTAAATGAACCGTCCGCCTGTCGATAGTGAAGGTCATCGCTGGTTTTCAGTCCGTTCTGTGTCTGAATCGGGTCTCGATGTGTTGTTGTTCTCACCTTGTCCTCCAGAGGGCGTCCAGGCGGGGGAGGCGGGGCTTCGGCTGCCGGTCGCAGTCCTCCACCGAGTCGGGCAGCGGGACGCCGCTGGTCTCTGGCAGCAGCAGAGTCAGGCCGCAGCCTATGATTGGTCCGCTGCTGTACACCGCCATGGCAGCCAGTGAGATCGCTCCGTTGGGACTCGGGGGCACGAGAGTGTTGACCAGAGAGCCGACTCGGAAACACAAGTTAACCAGCGATATGCAGCGCTGCCTGGTTCAGAGGGGACTAGAGTTACACGCTGGTCAACCTGTTGAGACCATGGTTAACCTGTTTAAACCCTGGTTAACCTGTTTAAACCCTGGTTGGGTTAACCAGTATAAGCGCTGGTTGGGTTAACCTGTTTAAACCCTGGTTGGGTTAACCAGTATAACCGCTGGTTGGGTTAACCTGTTTAAACCCTGGTTGGGTTAACCAGTATAACCGCTGGTTGGGTTAACCTGTTTAAACCCTGGTTGGGTTAACCGGTATAACCGCTGGTTGGGTTAACTGGTATAAGTGCTGGTTGCGGTGTTCCTACCTGACCACGGTGGGGAACAGCTCGATGCAGTACAGGACGGAGATGGTGGCGGCAGCCAGGATGCAGAGTTTCCCCACCAGAGCCAAACTCATCACCAGCACCGGCTCACCTGCACAGACAGTCAATATTATCAATACCTGATCACCAATCAATAACCAGTTCAGAAAAAAACTGCAGGGATGAGAAACAATGAGACTTAACGGAAAAGGACAAAAAGTTATTGTGGCTCAGCCGATTAATTAGAATGTGTTTATGCTAACGCCATAACATCTAGAAAATACAAAAGTTGATAGAATGCTAGTCATTAGCATGCTAGCATGCTAGTCAGTGGTAGCGACGTCCTGGACTCACCGTCGTATCTGGACAGCAGCAGCGACAGGAAGCAGGCGGTGCCGCTCAGGAACAGGGTGAGCATGCTGATTGGTCGGCGTCCCAGACGAGCCAAAGGGAGGAGCAGGCAGGGAGCTTCTGATAGGCCAGAGAAGAACTGGGCGGAGTAAATGCCGACGCCAAATGAGCCAATGTTCATACAAATCCCGAAGTAGGTCAGCGCTGATGCAACGCTGCAGGAAGAAACGAGTCCAGGAGGTTTCACAGGTCGGCAGTAAAGCCAGTGGAAGAGAAACAACGACACGGCGTTCTGTGCTCACCTGAGATAGCTCATGATGAGCAGCCGTAGCAGCACGGTGGGGTGTCTCAGGTGGGTGATGATGTCACTGGAGGCGTGGCCTTCATTGGCAGGTTCTTTGTTCGGAACCTTCTGCTGGTCGGAGCAGGCCGAGTCCAGCAGCTGCAGACAAACACAAAGTAACGGATTAAACTTACAACTATTCAGTGAAAGTAGATTTTATTTTTTAGCCTTTATTTGACAGAGCAGTGAGAGAGAGAGGAAAATGGGGGGAGGACCTGAGGTCATGAGCGGGATTCGAACTCATGACCTCCACATCGGAGCCGTAGCCCTGCACACGGGACGCCGGCTCAACCAGGTGAGCTGTAGCCCTGCACACGGGACGCCGGCTCAACCAGGTGAGCTACAGCAGCGCCCAAAGTACAGATTAAGATGGTTCGCTAAAAGTAGATTAAAATAATTAGGGCTAGCTAAATGAAAAGTTAGCTTAAAAGTATTAGTTTAAAGCAGCTACATTTAGCTTGAATGTTTTATTAAATGGTTAGCTAAAAGTAGCATTAGCTTAAATTAATATGTCTTTTAATATATAATAAAGGCGTTAAAAGCGTGAGTTGAACGTCGAGGTTCCATGTTCTTATCTTTTAGGTTCTTCTTGGTTTGATCGATGCGCTTTGCGTCCCGTTGAGGCGGGAGTTCTGATTGTGTAAACCTTTTCATCAGAGCGGTACCTGATGCTGTGGTTACCTGGTCCAGACAGCGCTGATCTCCAGGGCTGTTGCTACGGTAACGCTCCAGAACATCCATCCTCCTCCTCAACAGCAACCAGCGAGGAGACTCTGGGATTGAACTGGAAAGACAGAGAGAACACGTCATCTTCTGGAGATCCAAGCCCAGACTGCAGGACGTGGACAGGTGGACAGGTGGACAGGTGGACAGGTGAGCTGCCTACAGGTAGAGCGGCAGGCAGACGAGCTGCGGCAGAGCCAGCGACAGGTGAAGTTGTTTCCAGGTGGGGCTGAGCCAGGCCAGTGGAGCTCCGCCCATCGTCCCCAGGCTGAAGCAGAACGGCAGGAAGGCCGGCGGCCAGAGGCGAGCGGCGGGAAGAGTCCACTCCACGGCTGCAACACAACAGATCAAATAGAGACGTCTTCATGAACAAGAACTGAAGAACTTTGAAATTCAGGAACCAAAGCAGCTGAACTAGCCAGCTGTGGTCTCCATCAGTCCACCTGCATGAACATGGTTCTACAAGGAGCTGAGAGCAGCAGAACCTTCTCAGTTCTGGACCTCTGGACTGTGTCTATCTATGTCTGCATCATGGCTCCACATGGAGAAGACCTGAACAGAGGAGGAGAAACATCTGACTGAGAGACTGGACAAAGATGGAGAAGGATCCAGAAGATCAGTGAGCAGCTAGAACCCAGTGCAGCCCAGTGTGAGCAGGAACCAGGAGGTCCAGAAGGAGCCACAGCAGCACTGATCAGGGCTGCAGTGGTCGTCCTCCTACAATGACTCCACGGACAGTCAACTACTGTCACTATGGAGCTGTGGACACCAGACAAAGGCAGCTGCTTCAGACTTGGCACAGGGCTGATCAATGGAGACCAGAGTTAGTGTGAAGCTCACACAGTGTGAAGGACACTTCAGAACATCAGCCTCTATGGACGGAGGAGCAGAACTAAACCTGGCTGCTGCTCACAGCTAAACTTCCACATCAAAGTTCACCAGAGAACATGAACAGAAGCCTGATGGATGCTGGAGAACATCCTCTGGTCAGATGGAGATCAATGTGTTGGGCTCACATGGAGTCCAGATGTTTGGTGTGAACCTGACCAGGACCACCACAGTGGATCATGGTCCTGACAGTGAAGCACGGAGGTGGCAGCATCATGATGTGGGGCTGCATGAGGGCAGAAGGTGTTGATGACGTTTCTAGAAGCTCCATGAATGTCTGAGGATGAACCAGAACACAAAATGTCCACAAAGACCGACACAAGCAGAGTTCTGTCTGTTGAATGTCGTACATCTCAGCTGCTGTCCTGCAGACTTCACTGTCTCAGACGCTGACTGGTCACTTGTGAAACATTGCAGTAATGAAGCGGCTCCACAGAGCTGCTGGAGTCTGTCCGGCTTCATCAGCGCTCAGCAGGACTTTATCTGAGACACGTGCTGTTTATCAGCCATGTGAGTGATTGAGTCTCACCGCGGTCCAATAAACCTCAGCGAGCAGCCGGTCGGCTCTGAAACCAGACAAAACACTGCCGGTCCAGGCCCGGTCTGACTAAAGAGTGTTCAGGAGCCACAGAACAGTTCTCCACTGATCAGTTATCATACACCTTGTTTTCACCGTCAAGTCTTCAATCTGCAACCTGCAAAGAAAACCATCACCTGATCTGTAGCTTTGATGCTTTTCTTTGTCATTTTATTGTGAATTCAATATCTGAGGATCTGAAGAAACGTTTCTACAATGTTTATTAAACTGATGAAAAAGAAAAGAATCACAGCAATCATAGTGGCTCATAAAGTCACAGACGTTTGGATGAGATTCTACAGGTGTGTCTACAGGTGTGTTACAGGTGTGTTACAGGTGTGTCTACAGGTGTGTCTACAGGTGTGTCTGTGCGTTACCGAGGCAGAAGCCACAGATGTTGATGATGCAGCAGCAGGCGCCCGCCAGGCAGCGAACAGCGAGGAAGATGATTGGCTGAGGAAGGACGGCGGGCACGAGGCCGCACACGGTGTGCACGCACACAAACACCAGCAGCACCGGACGTGACCCGTACCTGCACAGAAAGCACAGTAACCACGGTAACCAGGTGAGCGTCTGCTGATACAGCCATGGCGCTGAATGCAGATCGACCAGTCTGTGATGTGTTCGTGTTGTACCGGTCAGATATGGCTCCGCCCACCAGAGATCCCAGCAGCAGGCCGAACATGTAGAGAGTCTGACCGTACGACAGCCAGTCTGTCCAGCCACACACTGACTGACACAGACACACACATTGTTAATATTTGTGCTAAGCTAGGCTAACAGTTTCCCCCAGCTTTCAGTATTTGTGCTAAGCTAAGCTAAGAGTGTCCCCCAGCTTCCAGTGTTCATGCTAAGCTAGGCTTAGAGTTTCACTCTACTCCCTGTATTTGTGCTAAGCTAGGTGAAGAGTTCACTCTACTTCTCATATTTTTGCTAAGTTAGGTGAAGATTGTCCTCCAGCTTTCAGTATTTGTGCTAAACTAGGCTAACAGTTTCCCCTTGCACCCAGTATTTGTGCTAAGCTAGGCTAACAGTTTCCTCTTGCACCCAGTATTTGTGCTAAGCTAGGCTAACAGTTTCCCCTTGCTCCCAGTATTTGTGCTACACTCGGCTAACATTTTTCCCCTGCTCACAGTATTTGTGCTAAGCTAGGCTAACAGTATTTGTGTGCACATGATGTGTGGAACTGGCAGCTCACAGAAACATTAATGTTTCATTTGCAGCGTCCACACAAAGGACTGATTAACAGATCCGGCTGCACATTAACGCTGAGCCTCTGCTGTCCACGTGCGTTTTACAGCTTTCACTTGGTCTGCTGATTATTTTTATTATTTAAGATATTAAAGGTCAAAAAGTGACATTAATCCAACGTCTTATAAGATGAGGAGGCAGAAAACGGTCCAGTGGAGAAGCTGCACTCGGTTCATTTTGTTTTCTTGTCAGCAGTCTGCTGCTCTAACAGGTCAATATGTTACAAATACGATGGATCGAAGTCATCATCACTTTAATCTGAACATAATTTCATTGATTTTCTTTCTGTTGCTGCAGCTCTAACCTGTAAAATTATATTATAAAGAAGCATAAAGCGTGTTTGTAGTATATAAACCATCATTGTTGCCATGGAAACACTCGTTAAAGTAATCTTTACTCACGTCTCGGTTCATGCTCTCAGTCCTCTGAACACCTTTGCAGTTTAAAACATCACCGGGTCCTGATTGGTTGTTCTCCTCAAGCCAGGAGGCCAGGGCGACGGCGCTGCCGTTGCCGTGGCGACACCTTTCAGTGACCACGGCGGCCAACAAAATGTCGAGGAAGAAGAGGAAGGACAAGAAGAAGAAGATGAGGGAGAGACGCCAGTAGACGGAGAGCTGCAGTGGAGACATGGTGGAGGAAAGTTAGAAAGTCCTCAAGAGCTTCATGCTGTTCACAATCGAACAGCT